TCCATAAATCAAACTCAAAATCACAAAATCTAACTTACATTGAACTTTCAGTTAAAACTCAAAAAATTCCTTCAAATCCTTAAGCTCCAATACAATGAATTAATCTTGAATCTTCAGAGGAATGTCTTGGATGAGTTCATTAATGTCTAGTTAAGAGTGATTTCTTGTGAGAAATTGAAACAATAAGGGAAGAATGAGAGGGTAAGTTCGGCCAAGGAAGAGAAGAAAGAAAGATTTCACGTTGAAGAGAGGGAAAAAGAAGGGAAAGTGGTTGCTCAAAATAATGAGCAGACAAGGTATTTTAGTCTTAACTCTACATTGGATGGCTAAGATTAAGTCATGTTACAATGGTAAATCTATCAATGGCTAAAAAAATATTCTCCAATGATATTATCCTTTCAAAATAATTATTTATTTCACAAAATTTCAAATGAAATCCTTCAATAATTCGGCTATATTCCTTAAATAATATAACACCATCTCAAAATTACTCTTTATAACAATAATTTTTCTCAATTTCCTTAATAATATAACACCATAATTTCACTATTCACTAATTAATCTAAGATTCTCCAAAAATATCATTACTTACTTCTACCCATTAGAAAATCATGTATGCATTACTCCAAAAATATTAAATAAAAATATAATACATAAGATAGTAATTTTTCTGGACCAAAAAAACTATCAATGTCCGGACTGGTATACTATTCACAGGACCGGTGTACTATTCATTATACTGATAAATTCACTATCCATCCATTAGTAATTATACTCAATATCTCGACCTCGGGTCTAAACCTCGGGTCTAAATAAAATATTATGCCCCTCTCTGTAGCACCATTCATGACCCGATAAAATAATACCATATAAGATTCGAAAATTTTTGGGGCGTTACAGCCGGCCACAGAGACAGGTTGTGACATAAATGGACCTATTTTTTCCAATTAGAATGTATTAAAAATCTAATTTTTAAAAGGGTAGTTTTAAATTAAATTAAGGCTAGTATAGGAAATCTCATTATTCCTCCTTATTCCCACATTTATATATTGTGTATATTATAGATATAGATTATAGATAGAATGTTATACTAATCTATATTTCTGTATGAAAGCTGAAACAATGAGAAAGTTTAAAGGATTCTCTTTATTCAACATTCTATTTTTCTTTTTCTAGAAAGGGATAATTGCAATTTTAGTGCATGAACTTGACGAAATTTTCTATTTTGGTGTATGAACGAAAAAAATGAATAATTTGGTGAATAAACTTCTAAGTTTTTAACAATTAAGTGTATTTTGCACATGTAGATAGTCGAAAATCCATGTGGAACGGCTGGGTCCCACTTGTTCATATATTTTTTTTGCTTATTAGGCGCCAAATAGGATTTCACATTAAAAATTCAAAAAATACGAAATGACTCAAATACCCTCATCTATCTTCCTCTCCTCTACCTTCATGCAATCCAGAGTTCGAAACGACACTGTTCACTTGCCTTCATCGGGGCCATTATCATTGTCGCTGCATAGATTAGCTGAAATTACACTTTGACGTCAGCAAATTCATCTCTGATTTTTCTCTTTATTTTCATTTATTGACTTTAAATGGAGATTGTCTCTATCTATCTATAATATTATCCTAAACTCAACTAAATGTTGCTTTATCTTGCTTTCCTTATTTAAAATTCAAAACCCATCTATCCTTTTTGTCTTTATCTTCTTCTGCTCTATGCCAGCTGATTCCATGCCAATGGAGAATGGGAACTCATTAATAATAAAAATACTCATCAACGCATAAGAAGAAAACAACATTGACCTCTCAAAATTTCTCGATCGCTTAAAGACTTTTTTCAAAATTTCTTGTTATTACTAATGCTTCCTTGTTTTTTTTTTTTTTTTTTTTTTTTCCTTGTTTTTTTCTTTTTTTTTTTTATTTTATCTCATGGCTTTCTTTCGCTTCTGGGTGTTGTTCTTTCCTATTTATTCACCAAATTTTGATTCCATCCGCCAAAATGGAAAAGGCACCAAATCAATAGCTTTGAGTTTTTTTTTTTTTTTTTTTTTTTTATCTCATGGCTTTCTTTTCTGCTTCTGGGTGTTGTTCTTCCTATGTTATTCACCAAATTCTTGACTTCCATCGCAAATGAAAAGCACCAAATCAATAGCTTTGAGTTTCAGATTCTGCGTTTTAGGCTTTAGTTGTTGCCGTTTCAACAGGAGTAGCGATGGCTTCAGGAGCGCAAGTCTCTCCTTGCAGAAATTCAATCGCTGAAGCTTCATATTCAAGCTCTAGAGAAACAAATATTGATAGAAGAAGTAGATTTGGTGCCGGAGATGATAGCAAATATATAGCTTTGTTACAAGTTTTGACAGAAAAGAATCAAATTGCGAAAAGCGATTCAAGTTTACTTTAATTCATATTCATTATTAATCCATCTGGTTGAAAAATTTTTTTCATTCATATAAAAATTTGTTTCAGTTTTGTTTGTTCCCAGTTGTAAAGAGAGAGGATAGGAGGTTTTTATGATCAATGCATGTTCATAGTGTTTTTAATCCACTTGGAGTCAAAGGAATCCTATTTGGCGCATAATAAGCAAAAAATATATGAACAAGTGGGACCCAATAGTCTCACAAGAATTTTTGACTGTCCATATGTGCAAAATACACTCAATTGTTAAAAAATTAAGAATTTATTCACCATCTTGTTAACTTTTTCCGTTCATACATCCAAATAGAAATTTCGTAAAGTTCATACACTAAAATTGCAATTATCTCTTCTAGAAAATTTGAAGATGTTTTCTAATTTTTCTGTATTATGATGGCCGAACTTAATTTTTCAATTTAATATTTAGTATATGATATCCATAATTGATAACTTTCAATAAACCTATAATCTAATCATCTCACTTAATCCAAGTAGAACTCCAAAATCTAACTAAGTTTATTTGAATTGAATATATTATTGTATAAAATCTCCTTCATATAAACCTGTAACTTTTCTTTTTCCTTCTTTTTCTAAGTTAGTGTTTCTATGCAAAAGTAATTAATTTAGTGTTTATTGATTTTTAGCATTAGAAGTTACATATTACTCTTTATTTTTGTATTTCAATGTTTCTGATATTTAAAGGTACTTTATGGATCAAAACCAAGCCCTTGAAAAACTCAGAATATTGAAAAAAACTTCTATAGTTTCAATTGGAAGTACAAGCAACAAAAGGCTATTCTAATTCAGACAGATCCTAGCCCCTGCACCACTTTCGTTTGTTGCTAATCCAATATATGAAGTTGTAGAAGAAATTGAATATTCATTCCAGGAGAGAAGAGCTGGATTTGTTCTTCACATAAATAACATTAAGTCAATAACAGTTTGACATGAATAAACTTGTAGATAACTAGAATTGTTGTTAATGCAATATACAATATCCATTCCCTAGGTGTCATGTGTGCTAGATTTGCTCATTAAAATTTGATTCTTTTCTTTTCTTTTTTTAAATTTAATTTTAATAACCTTTTTTTATTAAATTTAATATATTAACTCTCTCTCTTCTGAAAGGAGTATTTTACTCAATTTTATGTTCCTTTGGTATTTCTTTCTTCCATGATTGTTCTAATTATTCTTATTTATCCATTATTTTATTTTTTGAGCTATGTATTTTCCTCAAATCATGTTTGTTGATTGAAATTTTGATCTATGCAAATGAATTAATTAACCATTTAGAAGTATATATAAGAATTAATTATTATTAATTCCTGAGACTTTATCTAAAATACTTTCGGTGACTTTTATTTTTGGTTTTAATCTAGTAAATAATTATTGAAATAATATATAAAAATACCGAAACACAAACAACTATAAATTTTAAAAATTTCTATTTTTTATTTCTATTGCACTTAATTGGGTATAATTTTTTAAATCAATTTATAATTAATAGATATATAAATAATTATAATTCTTAAATTTTTGAAAATTTTAAAAATTTAAACTAATTTATAATTAATAAATATATAGATAATTATAAAATATAAATTATTTATTTTTATAAGCCGTTGAGTGTATTTAATTAATAGATATACAAATAAATAATTTTGACTTTAAAATTAGTTTACTCATATACATATAGATTTGCTCCAAATACTTTCAATTATTTTTATTGTTAGTTTTAATATGAAGATTTAAATAAAAAATTTTCGACATAAATTTATAAATACTCGCACCTGCAAGGCGCGGTATCACGAATAGTTAGAAATATATACCTCAGCATTATTTAGAAATATAAACTTTAGTCCATATAGGAAATTCATTAATTTCATAATAAAAATGCAATTTTTTTATTTTTTATTTTAGGAATTGTATCATAGAGATGACATTTTAAATTAACCATTTGCACCATTGTGAAATTATTATCTTAAGAATAATTTTCTGGAAAGCCCTTGCCTAAAAATAATTTCTTATTTTTCAAATTAATTTCTTAATTTTTCTTAAATGTTCATTATATTTTTTCTTCAAAATATATATTTTTCTTGACTTATTTATTTCCTAAAATTCTACAACAATACTACCTTCAAAACTATGTGGAACGTGATCTTATATTTTTTACTAACTTTTATGGAACCATTGGTTAAGTAAAATGTCGCACAATTTTGAAGTTACAACAGAATATTGGCATTCGGCAAACAAACAGTCTCCCATTTCGAACAGACATGGGCCCACCCTAGAAAATGCCATCTGTTTTATAAATCCCATCCATTATTTATATATAAAAGCTAAAGCAACATGATAGTGCATCACAATCAAATTCAGACCCTTCACTTTCATCAAATAAAACCCGCGCTTACTTTTTTTTGACCTATCTATCTAAATTTAATTCACTCCTGAACAGTAACTGCTGGCTCTACTTCGGCTGTCTCCTTCATAACAACGTCACACCGTAGGTTTAGAATCACATAATATACGCAAATACGTACCGGTGGGCGTATAAAATACGCATGCGCCTCCCCTCAATTATTTCCCCCAATTCTCTAATGTGCTCCCATTTCTTCTCTCTCTGTGCAATAAATAACGAAAAACCCTAATTACTAATCCTCTTCTTTCTCTCTCTAAACGCTTTCTCTCTCTATCCACGCTAACCCTAAAAAGCGTTTCCATGGCGGCGGCTCGGGAACGGAAGGACAATTCGTACGATGACGGAGGGGGTTTCGGGAAGTTTCGAAAGCGGCCCTTTCGAAGGGCGCATGCCACGCCGTATGATCGCCCATCGAGCGCAATTAGAAACCCCAGCCTTGCAAGTAATTCCAACAACAACAATGGTTGGTTATCGAAGCTTGTGGATCCGGCACAGAGGCTCATTACTTCCAGCGCTCATAAGCTTTTTGCTTCTGTTTTTCGAAAACGTCTACCTCCTCCTCCCCCCCAGCCGCCGGAGCCAGGTTAGCTCGTTTACATTTTTCGAGAATGTTTTTCCAGTTTTTCTTATGTGTTTATTGGAAATGTTGCTCACGTTTGTCTATTTGGGGACTTTGTTTGTGAAATTGCTGTCATCAAGGTTTTATTTTGACTTGTCTAATTGATACAAGGGAGTTATTAAGTGGAATTAGGCTTTTGCGTATGGTTTACACAGGGAAAACATTTAGGATTTGAAATTGCTAGTATGTATTTTTTTTTATTTTAGATATTCTTGTTTTTGCTTTCTTTTACTCGTTTTACCCCCTCCTTATATGCTTCAATTTGGTTTCAACTTAATTATGTTTGTGGCTACTTGTTCATGCTTAGTTCATGAGTTTGTTAGTTCTTTTTTTTTTTTTTTGTACCCTTACAATGTGTTAACTGGATGATGCATAAACTTGTTTGTTGCGTAGAGGCAAATGGGGGAGCACTTGATAGGCCGCTGGAAGCAGTTCCAAAAGTAAGTATTGATGTGTTTATTAGTTCCTTTTCAACTCAATTTGGCTTTTTCATGCTTTAAAGAAACTAAGAATATGATTGTAATTATAACAATTAAGTGGTTAATGTGTTCATCCTTTTTTATCAAAATGAAATTATCATGCTGGGAGAAAGAGAATGGGAATTGAATATCGGCTTTATCAAAGTTTCTGTCCTCACTGTGAGGGTACTAATGTCCAGTTCAACTTGATCTGAATGGTAGTTGTTTGAGTCCATACAACTGTGAAGGGAAATCCTTGCCACAGGCCCACCTATAAGATGAAAATTTAACACATTTCTGAAGGTGGCAAAAAAATGTTTGGGTTGGATTATGTTTGAGGCGCCACCAGGCATATTCCCCAGCAAAAGATTGTTAAATTTGTTTCAAGGATTTATAAGTTAGTTTTTATATGGTGTGCCATTTGACTGACAAAAATTATGTTTGGGATTCTTATGCCTAAGATCATAGCCTGCTGAAGGCGAGTTCTTGTGAGAAAATGCATGAGGTTTTCCTTTCCTTTACAGTTTATTCTGTATGTTATTTGCAAGATGTTTAATTGCATCCTTGTCAAAAAAAGGGAGGTGATAATTAATTAACTACATGAGACTTGAAAATTTAATCCATTGAACAGGATTAGAGACATGTGGCCGTGGATAAGTTTGGCATTATGAGTCATGCCTTTCAGAATGATTGTAGCAAGCTGCTAAATAGTACTGTAGCATAAGCCTGTTGGCTAGTAAGATAGTCTAGGTACCTTTCATAATTATAATTTCTAGAAGGTAATTTTGGAACACAATTCCACTGCTAGACCTAGTCTGGGACAATTTCTCTGCTTTGTCAGGTTAGACAGTTAGAGAAATGCAAGATATCATGTGATGTTGGATGAGCAAAGACACATTTGACTTTAAGGGTTATTTTTTTTTAATAAGTTCCACGTGAACGGACAATTGTTGGATCATTGAAACATTTAGAATGTTTGTTATACTGTACCATAGTTACTCTACTTGTCTTTCTGTTCGGGCATTTTTGGCTGTGGTATTAACTTTTAAACTCCAAATCCGATTGTACCACCTGTGATCTGTTAACTTATAGACATAACCCTTTTTTTTTCCAAATTCTGATGCTCTACCTGATCAATCTCTTTACTATTATGACTTGTGTCCGAGTTGCAGTTGGTTTCTTGATCTGTCTTTGTTTAACCATTTCTTGTTGTGTTTAATATATCTTTGCTATTGTTCCCTTGTGAATTCACTAGAGTGTTATGTTCAGTGAACTTAACTGAAAACTTTGTTCTTCTTACAAATTTATCTTTAAAGGATCCACCTGGAACTCGAAGATCAACTACAGATGTAATTCATAATTCGGGGAGTAGTTCCGACGGAAGTGGGCTTACTGAACTTGAGCTAATTCTGAAGCAGAAGACATTTACCAGGCAAGTAACTGTAAATATCTTGAGGGATTTTGGCACTTTGGATTTCCTTGATTTCACTAACTCCGAAATTAGACATGGCCACCGGGTCAGTTCATGGGCCAATTAAGGTTGCTTTGGCTGAAGAATCAGAACTGGCCTGGAACTGCAGGGTTAAACCTTTGCTGTCTTGGCCAGTTCTGATTCATTTAATAAGAAAAGTATAGAAGAGATAATTTGAGCTTGATACTGATTATGGAGTGTGTATATATACACACACACACTAGTAATCTTATACAACTAATAAATTTCCATTGAAACACTTTTTAGTTTTATTAGGACTCAAAATTAATAGTGATTTATTGCCATATAAAGAAAAGTAAAATTTGCATCTTCCAATTTGGTTCTCTAGTAAAGAACTCACTGTTTATATCAAAATTCTCAATTTCCTTTTTTTTTTTTTTAAATAATAATGCTCTCAAATACTTTTCATTGATTTGTTTTTATTTTTACAAAACACTTAATTATCTTTTTGAAATTTAAAATGAAGGTTCTTAATTATGAAAAATTCTTAGGTAGATTAAAGTCTATCAAATCGTTCATGACTAAAACAATAATATGATGCAATGTCAACAACTCATTTCTCCTCTCATTTAACTCCATCTCTCTTGTTTCAATTTCTGTTGAGTCTATTGGTGAAAATATGCAATACCATAAAAACTTCTAAAGACCTTTTTCCTTGAATATTTTTGTGATTACTTTTGGTTTTGGTGTGAGAAAATCATTCTTGCCTATTTGAAGTTAGAGATAATTGAAGGTAAAACAGAAAGTTTCAATTTTTTTATTTGAACTAATTGAATCCAAACGAATTGAAGAAGAATCTCCGCTTGCTGGCTTGTGTCTTGGATTTCATATATTTTTGCTTTCAATAAAACTATGGCTTATTAAAAGAAAAAAAAGGTCTCACAAACTTATTTCGAGGAGAGATTTGCCATCATATTCATTTTCATATGTCTCAATAGAGGGAGATGGTAACCAATGTAGATATCAATTCTCAGTTGAGAATAGGAACAATACTATTTGCTGATGTGTTGCATATTTATTATCTTAATATATAAGGGATGTGGTAGACCTAGTCTATCTAAGAATTTCTCCTTAATTATCTTTTTAAATTTGTAAATTAAGGCTCTAAATTGTCTTTCCAATTTGGTTCAGCTATTGAAAGCTAACTAATATGTTTTTGACCTGCCATAACTAAATGAATTCATTTACTATAAATCACAATTTCTGAGTAATTGCTTATTTTAGTAATGATTGTGGAAGTTCATGCGAATTTTGAAAATTTTTTCCCTTTTACTAGTATTCCTAAAAATTTTCATCAATAAAATTTATAAACATTTTAATTTTATCAAATTCTGATTAATTTTTTTCCCTGAAAAAGAAAATAAAAATAATACTGGAACTGTGCTAGACCGATTTGGAGCTGGAACCAGTGCTTCATGGGCCGGTTAAGGTTCCTCATTGGAAGGAACTTGAACTACTGTTTATGTGAACTGGAATTGCCGTTTCACCAAACTGGCCATGCCTATCCCAGATTATGAAATGGCATATTGTCTCTTGAGCTCTAGAAAGCAAGCAATAATGTATTTTGGGGCCGAGGCCCACCTTACAGCCAAACTGTGTGCTACTCTAATGGTTTCAAATTGATTGCAACTTACTGCATTCCTGCACAATTAAAATTCAACACTAATTGTTTTTGTTTTATTTGAAATTTGTAATTCCTGTGTGTACTTTTTCAGTGTTTATGCCAAAATTGCCTGGACATGATTGAGCTTGTATACATGTGGGATTAGTTTTATGTGCATAGCCTTGCTCAACTTCATGCTGATACTTGGCCTGTTTGCATATTGATCCTTAATTTTTCGTATATGATCTTTGTCCTTGATTGTTGTTTGCTAATGTGAAAATGGTCACTTGGCTTCTGATTGTTTGCGGTTTAACACATAGCAAATCATGCAATCTGTTGTTGAATGTCGGCAGCTCATGATGAGATTGAAAAATTTTATTTTTATTTTTGGCTTTCTCTATCTTCATTGTTTTTATTATTTTAATTTATTTTATTTATGTGAAGAATGCACATATAGCAGTTATAGTGATTGCAGGCCCTTCTATAAAAGCTGTCACATTATTATTATCATTCTTTTTTTTTTTTTGGGACATCTGTGAATAACATGTTTTTGATATGATCTTGTGATGATGGCAAACATGACTTGTGTGTTGATTTCTGCACAGGTCTGAGATTGATCAATTGACTTCTCTATTGCAATCAAGAACTGTTGATCTACCTGTTGGGAATCAAGAAAAGAAATCTGAAATGATCTTTTCGAAGGGGTTGTCATCCCTGGATAGAAATGAGGAATTTCCAATCACTCCAGTCAAAGATAATGGACTGGAGAACCACCATATTTCAAATCCCATTGTTAGTTCAAGTGTAGGAAAATTTTCCTGGTTTACTTCATCTACATTTATCTGCACATATTTACAGTTGCTTTTTGGTGGTTTCAAATGCATCTACATTTCACGCAATATTCACATATAATACGTAATATTATATTCACATATGTAAAATGACTTATTTCATGCAAAATATGTAATATATTCACATATATTGGCATCTGCATGCAGCCATGATCACATAAAAATATGGAAATCTTACACTCTGGCTCGTGTTTCACATTTAGTGGCTGAAATGTCTTCAGGTCCTTGATGAGGATGTTGCTTCACCTGCAGAGCTTGCAAAAGCTTACATGGGTAGCAGGCCTTCCAAAATATCCCCATCAGCACTAGGTTTGCGCATTCAAGCTGCTGGAGAGGATTCGGTTTTGCAGATTGATCGGCCTTTGCCTTCAAAGTCGCCCATAATGTCAGTTGTGCCAAGGTCTGCAGGACGTATTACTTCCATTGAAAATGGCTTTGTGACACCCAGGTCTAGGGGTCGATCTGCTATATACAGCATGGCTCGAACACCATATTCCAGAGTTCACTTGTCCTCTACTCTGCAGGTTGACATGCTGAAAATATGCAATTTGTTTCAAACTTTTTTATTTATTTATTATGATAATGACATAAAATCCTCATTTTCTAGGGTCCTGGGACTGAAATTAATGTTCTTGGTACACAGTCGTTGTCATCTCAAAATATCTGGGGAAGCAACAGAATTTCTGGGTCTAAACAAGGGGTACAAAATAAATCAATTACTCGTTGTTCAGATATTTTAAAGTCCATTTTAAAAAATATTCTTCTTATTATTTTTGGTCCCTTTTGCAGGCCTTAAAACGACGAAGTTCAGTTTTGGATAATGATGTGGGATCTGTAGGTCCTATACGTAGAATTCGTCAGAAATCGAACCTCCTGCCTTCTTCTGCGACCTTGTCTATCCGTGGAAATGGAATTGGTTCTGATCTCGCTCGACTTCCATCCTCATCACAGACGCCAATTTTAGAAAGTAAGCCAACAATGGTTAAGGGGGACAATAATATTCATGGATCTGGTTTTACCTCTGTGCCCTCCAAGTCCAGTGAGATGGCTTCAAAAATATTGCGGCAACTGGACATGTTAGTATCATCAGGGGAGAAATCACCTACTAAGTTGTCACCATCCATGCTACGTGGGCCGGCTCTTAGAAGCCTGGAGAACATAGATTCTTCCAAGTTTCTGGAGACTGTTCAAGATAATAATAAGTTGGATTCTAACCATGATGCTTCATTACCTGATTCGCGAGACTCTATGTCTCAAAAGCAGGATAAAGTTGAGGAACCAAAGCTCATTGCTCCTGATGACAAATCAGCTTCTACAGTAAATGTTTTAGATCCCACAAAGTTAGTAAAAAATAATGCATCTGATACCAAAGCAATATCTTTGTCTGTGATGAATTCTCTTCCCCAGCCCCCGCCACAGAAGAAACGGGCTTTCCGTATGAGTGCACATGAGGTATGTGTTATTGGTCCTAATTAATCTGTGCATATAATGCCATTTATGAAGTGCCTCTAGTAGTTAACTTGGCCTACTTGCCATGTCCTGTCCTTTCCCCCCCCCCCCCCCCCCCCCGCCATGTCCCTGTCCTTTCCCCCCCCCCCCCCCCCCATACCTTAATAATTTGTGGCCCTAGAGAATTTAAGATTTTGCATTTTTTCAGTTAGTCAACCAAATTGTTACACAACCATCTTTAATGTCACCCCCCATACCTTAAATAAATTTGTGCCCCTGAGATTTAAGATTTGCATTTTTCAGTTAGTCAACCAATTGTTACAAACCATTTTAATGTCACTGTTGAAATTGCTTATGTGAAAATGTCATCTGTTAATGTGAGAATTGCAAAAAAGTGGATATCTTTTGGGGAAATGTGGAAATTTGTTTTATCTTGTCTCATTTTTTTTTAGTGTTATGATATTAATGTTATGCCTCCCTCATCTAGGATTATCTGGACCTTGATGATGATGACCATTCAGCTATGACTGGATCTGGTACACTTGCTCATGTGCGAGAGAAGCTGGATGACACTTTGGCTGAAAATAAGATCAGTCCTGCTGAGGCCGTTACATCAGAGAAGCCTGTAGCTTTTTCTCAACCCAAGCCTCAGGAAAGCTCAATATTGAACCAAAAAACTTCAGAAACTTCTGATGGGTTTGCAGTTGCTGGAAAGAGCAGTGGATTTTCAGTCCCACCTGCATCTTTGCCCAGCAGTGTGGCTGTCCAGCAGGCCGCGTTAGACAAGCAGCCATCTTTAATGTCTGATAAAACTTCATTGCCAAATGAATTAAGTGTTGCTCCTCCCATTCTTAGTTTTGGAGACAAAGTTTCACCCAAGGAACCAAATGGTCTTCCAAATGCTATTTTCAGCTCTGAAACTGCTGAAGTGCCATCATCGGCGCTCAGTTCCGCTTCACCAGTTGTGAGTGTTTCTACAGGCTTAAATTTTGGTACTTCATCGAATTCTAAATCGGGAAGCGCGAGCAGGTGAGTCTGCTTGCTTAGCACTTGTGACATTCCATAGATTTTCAACTTCTTTTGAGAATGCAAATGCTACTTTTACTATCCAATTCTTAGGATGTAGTAGGATTGTATTTAACATTATCGTTTACATCAATGAAAAGGATAAGTTTCGTTGATGGGAACAATATTAAGGCTTTGAGTAATTGTTCTAGATGAAGGATGCTTATATGCCACTTGAGGGAGTTGAAGCCTTTTTTCTTGGTTCTTTTTTATTCTGAGGGGTTTTTTTTTATAGAGAGGTATGTCCCAGCTTAGACACCAACCAAGTTGTCCTCAACTGGAATGTTTTTGAGACTGGAACAAAATGCTGAGGATTCAATGCCTTTCTATTTACTATGCGTACAATGCTAACCTTGAAGAATAGGCAGAAGGTGCAAAGTGTAGGCATGCACAATCGAAAAAGTTAGGTTAGGTGGACTTCTTCAAAGTGAACTTTGCAATATTTTTTAGGAGGGATTTGAAGCTCGGTAAGGCAACTAGACCATATCATTAATATATTTGATCTCTTAGTTGTCGCATAAAGGATACAGTTGGGACTACCATATAAGCTATTTACAATTCTAAAAGTAAATCTAGTAATGAGAAAGCATGCAGCTTTGCATTTCTACAAGTAAATCTAGTAATGAGAAAGCATGAAACACTAATTAGGTAAATGATTTATCATATCATGCATATTTTCTTACCTGTAAAATATAACCAATCATATAGCAAGTAAGAACAAGGTGTTATGAAACAAGACTATGCCAATATTAGCAGCCTTAGTCCTGACATGTCTGAAGGATGAAGCACTGTTATTTTCTCCGCACCCCATTTGTTAATCTTTTTGTCTTTGGGTAGCATATGGTCTTTCAGAATATCAGCTTTCTAACAAAATAAGGAAATACTTGGCACTTTGCCATAAAGCTAAAACGAGTTTTACTACTGTCAGAAACACAATTGGTTTATATGAGCAATGTGTTTGGATAGCAGTACTCCCATTCTTGGCTTTGACTTTTAACCATGTGGTTCTTGTCTGTCTTAAATTGATCTGAATGTTCCACCCCCAACAATATTTGAGTTTAGTAAATCAAGACTAAGTTTTGTATGTATAATTCCTTTTTTCTTGTCTATGATCCTGCATTATGGAAAACATGTAAAATACCATCTGAAAGTCTTATTGGTATATGAGTCCTCATTGAATAGACACGATACTTTGCATTAATATCTATAGAGTCTAGGATAATAAGCTCTGTACCTAGGATTTTAAAGTGCAATCTTCCCACCACTGATCCAAAAAGTTTGATGCGATTTTTTTCTCAATAGGAACATATAAACTTTACTTTTTCCATGATTAATTTTAGTTAGGTGTCTGAAATAGGATTAGTAAAAGAATATTGTTGAGCAACTCCATACAATTGTCAGTAGATTACTTAATGTACCAAAATTTCGGATTTCTGTTTTAGGCAGAATTTGGATCACTTTTCTGTATACAAGCTGAATATAACTTGGTTCACTTTTGGGGATTTATTTAGAGGGATCCTGATCAGGGTCTTGTTCATTTTGATGTGTGAAGTCTGAAGTCCTCAGACACCCGGTAGGTTGAGAAAGTCTTAATTCTATAACCAATATTTATACAAGGGTTGAGAAAGTGAAAGGGCAATGCTGGAAGATATACATGCACTTATTTCCTGCTATACTTTTATTTTTAAGGTTTACTTGTTAATAGGGAAAATAAATTTGTAATTATAGTTACTGCGAAATAATCCTTGATCCCTATTAGCTGGGCTGTGCTACTATGTGGTTCCCTTGCACCAATACTGAATGACGGCTTTTGTCTTAATTTTCTTTTGCCACTTGTTTTTTTTATAACATCTCAATATTCTCTAGAAACTGTTAATTGCGGGTAGAAAAACCATCAGTGGGAAAGTTCTGGTCACCAATGTTCTCGTTTTCACTGCTAAACTCCACATTCTCCCAAGGTCCATTCCTTGGATCCTTTTTTCCTTGTTATTTTGATATTTTTTAACTTTCCATAATGGTTCTTTCGTTGGCCTGTGGTTGATAATTACACTAATTATACCTACTGTTATAAGCATTATCATCTCGCAATTTTCTGCTATTTGATGGAATAAAAAATGGTTCTCAATTAGCATAGTAGCAGCCTCATGATGATGTGTACAACTTTTTTGTGTTCTTTTCTTGAAAGTTTCATGTATCTTGTGTATGGCTTCTGATTTTGATGAATTAATGATATATTTCTCTCCAAGTGGTGATTTGAGTTAGCAGTTACAGGAAGTGTTTTGATGTTTGGTGTTGAAATTTAATGAAAATAATTGGTCCATCAGTGATGTAAATACAACATACAAAACTGTTTTTATGCTTTTTTGTTCTACTTGTCTTAATTAAATGTTTGACCAGCATATCTTTTAATGTTCCCATTAGCTTTGCCATGTGGTCTGATTATTTTCTCCCTTGCCTAACATACAGCTTCACATTTACTGCTGTTGATGGAATGAAGTCTGTGCCAAATGAGCATGAACCAGATAAAGCTGATAACAGAAACAATTTGAAGGCGGGTGTCTTCAGTTCAACTGAAACTGTGTCATCCACTGTATCAACCTCCTTACCAGCCACAAGCATATTCTCATTTGGCATGGCTACCAATGCTTCTAATTTAAATGGGGCTCTTGCAGCTTTTTCTCAATCATCTTCTTCCACTGGTCCAGCTCTTGTTTCTAAGAATGTAGCTGGGCAAACTTCATCTGGCAGCTCTGTTGATGCTGCCATTAACAGCAATACTAATGCCACCTCTGTGACTACCGCATCGGCAAACAACAACAGCAGTAGCAGCTTCTCCATATCGGCTTCAGCACCTTCCTTTGTGTCTGGAACCGGTTTCAAATTTAGTTCCCCTGCGATTCTATCTGCTTCAACATCATCAAAATCAGAAACTACTGGTGTAGAATCGTCAGAAACCAAGAAACAGGAAACGAGCATAGGGAATTCTGTGAGAGCGCCTTTTGGCAGTTTATCCCCAGCAATTGCAAGCACAGGGGGCAGTCCTTTCAGTGGTGCATCCTCTGCAATAATGAGCACAGGAAGTGGGATTTTTGATGGTACGTCGTCTGCAGTTACAAGCACAGCAAGTAGCATTTTTCATGGTACATCATCTGCAATTGGAAGCACCACGAGTAGCAATTTGGGCAGCTCATCCTCTGCAGTTACAAGCACAGGAACTGGTATTTTTAACTTCGGTGCTGGAGCGAGTACTTCAGCTGCAGCTAATCAATCTCAGGGTTTTAATCCTTTTATTGCTGCCAGTTCTCAAGCATCTGGGGCTGTGACTGTTTCTGCAACTTCGACCCAGAGCATGCCATTTCAATTTGGCTCAGCTGCATCTCCTTTTGGATTGACTACAAATACAGCCTTTTCTTCTGGGAGTTCTTTAATTAGTTCTTCAGCGTTCAGTTCTGGTGCTTTTGGACTCACTTCTTCTACTTCTACAGAGGCTAACTCTGTTAGTTCCAGCAGTAGTAGCTCTATGTCAACTATTTTTGGTTCCAGCTGGCAAACGCCTAAAACTCCCTCATTTTCTTCTGCTTCTTCCTCTACCGGATTTGCTTTTGGAGTATCCTCGGCTTCTAATGCTAGTACCAGCACCACATCCATGATGTTTGGATCGTCTGCTAATGCTTCATCTGGTACCAATACCATATTCTCGTTTAGCTCACCTGCAGCAACTACATCACAGACAGGGTTTGGCAACACAAATCCTGCATTCGCGTTTGCACCATCTCCATCTGGTAATAATGATCAGATGAGTATGGAGGACAGCATGGCTGAGGACACGGTACAGGCAACCACATCTACGCTCAATGCATTTAGTCAACAGCCAACTACAACTCCATCTAGCTTTATTTTTGGTTCTATGCCTCAAGCGAATCAATTTACCTCTACAACTCCATCAGGGGTGAATCAATTTGGCTCTGCAGCACAGTCGGGAGCAACTCCCTTTCAATTTGGAGCATCTCAGAACACTTTGCCAGCTCCTGCTAATGTGGAATATAATGGAGGAAGCTTCTCGTTGGGCTCAAACGGTGGTGACAAGTCCAATAGAAAATTTTACAAAGTCAGTAGAAAGAGCCGGAAGAAGTGATACTTGAATCATCATGGGAAGCTGATTGTCTTGTCATAGGTCCTGGGTACTTGAAATGGATAGACAATAATTATAATGATGAGATATAAACAGCATAAATTTCAACATTTGATGCTATGCTGTCAGGTCGCTGCAGATGATGCAGGTAAATCCACCCAGTGCTGATTCTGTTTGCTCTTTCAGACTTCAATTTCTTCAGGGCAAAATTCATGGTTGCAAGGAATGCGCAAACATACATGGGTCGTCACAATTTTGTACCAGTTTTCTTAGCAAATCTTAAGAATATTTGTGCTGTATTAGTGGTGTTAGCTTCTAGGGGATTTATGGTGGGGCAAATTTACTAGTTACCCTGTTCTCTTTCTTGTACTGGTCGTATGTAATGTAACATAAAGATTGAAGAGGGAGTGATGTGAATTTGCTTAAGAAAGTTTGCAATATTATAATTTGAATGATTCATGGTCCCTTGCTATGTTTTCTTGTCTTGCATTTTTTGCCAAATCCTACACTGCAATTGGCCAAGGCAGTTCAGATCAAACTGTGTCGAATTGCATTACATCCAACTTTGCTGCTGCTTGTTTAATAATGAGAACACTGTCGTTGGCATCTGTGTATTTCTTCAGTTTGCCCTAATTATTTGATAATGCCATCATCTACTCGTTGCTTCTCTAAGCTGTTCTTATTTATATTTATTTATTTGTTTGCAAAGACTGCTTATATATATAACTTTTGCGTGGCTGTTGTTTAATAATGCAGAACACTGTCGGTTGGCATCTGTGGTATTTTCCTTCAGTTTGCCCTAATTATTTTGATAATCATCATCTCCTCGTTGCTTCTCTAAGCTGTTCTTATTTATATTTATTTTTTGTTTGACAAGCACTGCCTTATATATATATATTATATATATTATATATATATATTTTATTTAGGAACACATGATTTATTCATATATATTTCTATTTAGGAACACATGATTTTATTCCTAAGATCAAGCTATATACACGTTCTTTCTTATTTTACATTCTGTTAACATAACAATCGTTTGTTATAAATGTAGTCAACCCGTACCCATTCAATGCTGTTGTGAAAATATCACTTAATCGTTCTCCAATCTCGACATGTCCAATAGAGATGATCCCTTTTTGAATCTTTTCACAAACAAAGTGACAATCAATCTTAATATGTTTAGTTTGCTCATGAAAAACAAGATTAGAAGCAATATGGAGAACAGCTTGGTTATCACACTACAATTTAGTAGGAAGAAAAGTCTTAAAACAAACTTCATTTAACAAATGACATCCATATGACTTCACATGTTGATTGCCATAGCTTTATACTCTGCTTCAGTACTAGAGCTTGCCCAGTATGCATCTGCAAAACAACAATATCATGATTACTATACAACAAACTGCGTCCTGGAGCTCCTTTTAAATAGCATACAATCTAGCTCAAGGCTTCGTAATGCACAATAGTCGTAGGGATATAAATGAACTTACTAAACTAACAATGTATGCTATCAGGGCGAGTCACTGTTACATAGTTCAATTTTTCCACTAATTTTCTATACATCTCCAGATTTGTAAACAACTCACTATCTCATGTTATTAGTTGCATATTTGGAGTATCAATGGTGCATTACATGGCTTAACACTTAATTTTTCTGTTTTTGCCAACAAATCATGAACATGCCTGGACCCGACTTTATTTTTCTGTACCTGCACTTCTATATTAGCGGTACAACTTGCATTTATGAATGTATGCTTTTATGGATACATGTATGCTGTATGCATGACTGTATTGCAAATTAATTTTCAAAAAATTTGGCAATTTAAATGCAACAAGTATGATTGACACTTTTATATACCAAAGAATGATTCAATTTAGTCCACAAGAGTGGCAAAATTGAAGAGAAGTAGCAAAAGAGGCGCCTAAAGGCAAAAATTTTTATATTCAATGGGCAATTGTTGGCCCTAGGCTTGCCAACTGCTGGTCAAGGGGCGGTTGACTGCTAGCCTTGGGTGGTTGACCGCCTGAGGCTAGTGGTTTGATCGCACATTCTTGGGCGATTCACCGCCTAAGGCGATTCACCGCCTAAGGTCTCAAGCTGCTGATTAAAATTGGTTTTTTTTTTTTTTTCCGAATTTTGGATGCACAGGCTTGCTTTCAGACACAGAAGAATGATTTTTTAGGCAAAAAACGTCAGGCTCTTTCAATTTTCTTGCAAATTTCTTTGATTCTTTTTTTTTTTTTTTTTTTTTCAAATTTCTTTGAATTTCTTTTTTTTTTTTTTTTTTTTTTTTTTTGCAATAATAAGCATGAACTTTTATGCATGAAATGTACTTATTAACTGAGAACTAAGTTAAACTGTTTTCCATTATCAGTAATAATCTTATAAGGTATGCATTATCTGAATATCACATTATTTCTGGTAAAGTTGATGATTCGAGCTGGTATTATGATGCTGAGTGCCTCGGCCTCTACCCATTTGGAGAAATGATCAATGACCACCACTACAAACTTTCTTTGTCCAGTTGTTACAGGAAAGGGTCCTAGGATATCTACCCCCCATTGGGCAAAAGGCGAGGTGGAGCCTAGGGTTGTAGTTTAGAAGAGAGTTTTCTAGGTACACGTTCGTACTTTTGGCATGTGAGGTAGTGTCTGACATATTGGCAAACATCTTTTTTAATCATCAGCCAATAATACCCCAAGAGCAATATCTTCCTAATCATCGCGTCAGAACCTTCATGGGCACCACAGACCCCTTCATGAGTTTCCTTTATCATGTAGTTACCCTCTTCTTCAGTTAGGCATTTCGACCAAGGGTTTGTTTTTGACCTCTTGTACAGTTCTCCCTCTTTAAGTGTGTAGTTGGCAGCCTTCCTATAGAGTTTGATGGCCTCTTACTTGTTGTTAGGTCGGATGTTTTTTGTATGAAATCAATAATTGGGCTCATCCACTTTTTATCAGGCTGAGATATGAGGATTTTGCTTTGTTCATAGCTCGCCTGACTCTGCTGTTCTATATTACTCCTTTGGGAAATTCTTCTTTACGCACTGTGGTTTTGGCTATGGCATCCACTTCTTTATTGTCTATCTTGTCAATCAGGTAATTCACCAAGTGATACGGATCCACTACCACCAACCACCTATGGGGCTCAAGGGAACAAGGACCACAACAATGGCAATCCATTAGCACTTCCTAGTGGACTAATTACAAGGAGTTGTGCAAAGAAGTATGGTGGACTAATTACTAAGGAGTTGTCTGCAAAAGAAGTTAATGGAGCTCCAAATGAACCTTGGCTTTTCAATCAGTGCTATGAAGAACTTTGAAGGGAACACCTAAAGTATTCTCACCATTAATAGAAGCACAAGTTCGATTGGGAACCATGCTTGGTTAGCACGGTCCCGTGCAAAGTGGCCAACGGCCAGGCCGTGCGGAAGCCTACTGCTCTTCAAGGAAACAAACACTTGATTCTGATGCACGCCCGTCTGCCAACCTAGCACGCCTCATCTCAGACCCGTGCACTCTTTCTGCCTCTCGCGAAGGAAACTCAACATGCGCGCACGTAGCCCGTGCCAATTAGCAACCGCCCTGGACCCGTGCAACTGTCTGCCTCTCATTAAACTAGTTAGCTTAATTTTGTTGTTTTTGCAATGCTAATGGGTTGGGCCTCCAATATTTCGGCCACCCTTGAATATTAGCCATTATTTTGATTAGATTAGTCATCTTTAGTGGAATTTGGATTAGATCTCCAAATCCTTAAGTAGTTATGATTTTGTTAGTCAACTCTTAGTTGGTTTAAGATTTGCTTAATCCTTACTCGCTTAGCTAACTCTAATCCTCTTATGGATCTGGACCGCTCTTAGATTAGTATAATAGCTTCTTATTTTGTAATATATTCATCAATTATTCAATCAATTCAAGAGAAGATTTTTCTTCTTCCATGGCCTTTGGAGTGTTCATAGTTTTTAAGAGGGTGTGAGATTGCATTCTTCTAATTGCATCAAGAATCAAGGTAAACTTATCAATTCTTGTGGCGTTTATTATTCTTCCTACTCTATTATTGCTGTTCTTGTTCTTTATAAGTTTGGGTGCCAATAGAGGGGAATTTATTAGATCTTGGATCCTTCCAACTTGTCATTGAGTTCCAATGGAAATTTATTTTCCATTGGGTTCCGCGTTTGGGTGCCATAGAGGGGAATTTATTTAGATCTTGGATCTCTTCCAAAACTTGTCATTGAGTTCATGGAATTTATTTCCATTGGGTTCCGCGTCACCAAGTGCCCCCTTTATCTTCTAACTTACATAAAAATGACAGAGCTAGGGTGTGGTATCTGGTTATGTTTGCCTCTTTGATGGTGAATGCACCCCTTATCTGGTTCACTACCAGCTGTGAGTCTAGGAAGATGTGGAGGATAGGAGCAAGTACCTTAAGAGCGAGTTTCAATTTTGTGATTAAGCCCTCATATTCAACACTATCATTGGTTGTAGTAAAGTCTAAGCGAACAATACATTGTATCTTTAGCTTGCCAGGTCCTTGAAATATGATGCTTGCTGCTGCTCCTAAACTTCTTAGAGCCCGTCAGTAAATAATTGCCAAGTTAGGTTGTTTGGATTTCCTGCTTTGATTTCTGGTTCTCCCTCTCCTTGTTCCTTGTAGAATTTAGCTACAAAGTCTCCTAGCACTTGTGCTTTCATGGCGGTACAAGGTGTGTATCTGATGTCGAATTCTCCTAATCTAATTGACCATTCCACTAACCTCCCTGACGTCTCCGGTACAAAATTGTTTTCAAAGGATGGCTAGTTTTGATAAAATATAATGTGAGATTAGAAATAATGACGTAACCTGTTCGACGAAGTGATGACAGCAAATGCAAGTTTCTCAATGTTAGGGTATCTTAGCTCTGTACCTCGGAGAACTCTACTAGTGTAGTAGATGGGGTATTGCTCTCCATCTTCTTCTCTAACTAGGACGGATGCTACTTTACTTTTGGTAGTAGCTAGATATAAGTATAAAGGTTCGTCCTTCTTGATCTTCTCAAGAGAGGAGCTGAGAAAAGAAACTCCTTTATCTTATCAAAGGCAAGCTGGCACTTATCGTACAATTGAAAACATTTCAACCCGTTTTAGTGCTTGGTAGAAAGGCATGCACCTTTTGGCTGAGCATGAGATAAAACGTCCCAAGGCTACGATTCGACCATTCAGTTGCTCTGTGATATCGTGAACCCTAAAAACTTGCATGCTTTTACTCTAAACTTGCACTTATTTGGGTTCAGCTTCATATTAAATTTGTTTAGGATTTCAAATGTTTTGTTTAAATCGTTGGGACGATTCGAGGCCTGAGTACTCTTGATAATCATGCCATCTACATACACTTCCACTGTCTTCCCTATTTGGTGCTGGAACATGCCATTGACTGGTCTTTGGTATGTAGCTTCTGCATTTTTTAAACCAAAGAGCATTACCTTGTAG